TATTTATTTATTTAATTTAGTAAAAGTGAGAAATGAGGAAAAGGGAAGGGGTTGATTGATGGAGACGCGGCCAATCATGGGTGACGCTGCCACGTTGGTAGATAGTTCTCTTCTTATCCATTTTGGGATAACTCATGCCACGTTGGAAATTTCATTTACTCCTAATTACAACTTTATGAATATTAGCCATTACTCAATAATATGATTATCAATTACTTTTTAATCTCCATTTAGTAATATTTAATAAAAATATCAATTATTAAGACGAGCTTCTCTTTTTCATAAAAATATCAATCATTTAATAATATTTACAATCAATATTATTGTAAATTTTAGGGGTGCACGAAGAATCTGGCAACTTAAATAACTTGAAACGACCCTTTCCGAATTATAAGAGTTGGGTTGAGTTTAGTTTTATGAATGGATGAGTTCAGGTGGGTTCCAGGTTTAAGGGGCGTCTAGTCGGGTTAACTCAACTTGACCCAACACTTCTAAAGTACGTGCGCCCAAGCCTAACCCACTAGCCGCATACCTCCATTCGTGTCTCATGATTCGACACCACTCTCATCGCTCACCGGTCACTAGCCTCCATCCATGTATGGTGATTCGATTCCATGTTAGTTGCTAGCCTCCATTCGTGATCTAATGCTAGCCTCATCATTATCAGTGTTGTCGTATTGCTAGCCTCTATTCGTCTCATCCGTCATCGTCCATGTTGGCATTGATTGCATGGTCGTCCAATCTCTATCCATTGCCATCCATGTCAATTGCCACGCCTGTCGTCTAGTTGTCCACTCGTATGATGGAGTATGATGAGAAGCGTCGTGAGGAACAACACTCGGCTTCTAACTTTGCCTATTCTTCTAATTAAGCAAAGAGTTATGTTATTGAATGAAACCATTTTATGTTCTAATCTTCGAATTATCATTCCATATATTTGCAAATCTTGAACTAGTCTAAGCTCCAAGTTTAAATTCATTATAATTTTGAGTTTTGAGCCGTTCGTTTAGTTATTAAGAATATTTTTTTGAAGAACCCACAACCCAACTCGAACTCTAACTTAAAAACAAAGGGTTGGGTTGTGAAACAATTTTAGGTTGGATCAGGTTGCCAATCAAACCAACTCGAACTTTTAAGTTTATACAAAAAAAAATTCTTAGTTTGACTAACTCGATCCACACGTAAACCCCTAGTAAATTTTGGTAATTTTTATTCATAAAAATAGTTTTTATAAAGATTTTTATTTTCTCAAGAATACATTTAAACTTTTTAGTTAAATTTTAAAAACAAAAATAAAATTTTGAAAACTACTTTATTTTTTAATTTTCAAATTTTGAATTAAATTCTTAAAAAAAAAAAACTCGAACTAAAAAATCATAACATAAATTATTTTCTCCTCTAAGAACGCTTCATAAAAATCACATTTCGATTTGATCGTTTTATTAATTTTTTTTTTTTTTTTTTTTTCTGAGAATTACTTTTTCTTGATTTTTATTGACAAGTGGAGCGTAATAAAAGATCGTATATAGAATCACAAAACCAAAATTTGAAGTCTAATCCGATTTCCCAATAAAAGATCGTTCAAAGTTACTTCTGTTCGTTAGATTTTTGTAATCGGTTCGTGTTCTTCGTAACGAATTCCCATGTTCAAATTGTTACAACTGCAATGGAAAATCGGTCTCGTTCTTGATCTTTCACTGGAAAATGCGACTATATTAGTTCCACTCCCCACCATCAGTATCATATGATTTCAAAGCCTCAATCCATTATTCCATTTCTGCAGATCAGTCGAAGAATTCTCTCGTTTCTCTTCTTTCCTCTCTCTTGTGATGGCTACGGTGGAGAGTGGGGGAGTGGTGTGCAGGTGCCGAGAAATGGGAAGCTGTTTTCCTGGAGAAGCTAGGTTTCAGGGGAAGCAGATAATCAAGAAGAATCTTTCCAGTTTTTCGACTATTCCATTCTTTAGGAATAGTTTTCTCGATAGACGGCGATTGACTGCGCGCAACAATCGCATTATCCGGTATAATTTTTTATTTGGTGATTTTGTTGTGTTCGTTTCATAACGAGGGGAATTCTCCTTCCAGTTGATTTGGAGGGGGTGAAGCGAAGATTAGGAGTTTCTTGCTGCTATGATGATAAATGGGGGTTTCTTTCAAATTTAATTACGGAAAGCTTGAAGTTCTTGTGTTCATAACTTGATTTCTTTCTATGCCAGTCTTGAGATCGATTACTGTTCTTGGTTGCTGCTGTTTGTCTCAGTTTCATTTCAGAATGGATATAGATGTAGAACTTGAGCTTCGTTTTGTCTTTCTTGAAGATAGGGATTGAAATACGTATGAGTGTGGAAAGTTCTTTGTTCAATTGAAAGTTCTTTTCAAAATTTTCAAGATCTTGGCTCTCTTTTGTTACTGATTCTAGAGGATATACAAGATTGTGCATTATTTTAGACATTTGCATGTTTTATTTCTTGATACTGTAAGTTTTTTTATGTTTTACTTCATATTTCAAGTAGGTTCCATGTTAGTGGTTGCTTGACTAGAATGAACAATAATTTTTTATGATAAGTGACATCGTTGCTAAGAACATTGAAGCTAAGAACGTCGCGATCAGCTCCTAGGAACTAGGATAGCTGTATAAGTAATTTTTAGTTGGGATCCTGTACTTCAATTGATATCTCAATTCCTATCACACTACCGATGGTGTTTTTTTCAGCATGGAAGCCCGGGAGAAATCAAGATCAAAAATAGTGAATTCATCAAGACGCAACAAAGTCCCAGTGTTTATGATGCTGCCTGTCGATGTTTTTGAAACGGGTCCTTCTGGGAAAATGAGGATTCCTAGGTAAGCCCCTTGATACTCACTATCTCATCTGTTATGCTGTTATGTTGATTTGCAAAACAATATGAAGAAAAACATGAATATATTATGATCTGTTCTTGAGTTTGATGTGCCGATCTTAAAAATTTTTGTTCCAAACTTTGGGCTTGGAGAAATAGTTAAGATGTTACTCACTTGTTGCTTCAGATTCAAGGCCATAAGAGCGTCCCTGAATGCACTCAAGGTAGCTGGTGTACATGGAGTAGCAGTTGAGGTTTGGTGGGGAGTTGTAGAGCGTTTCTCTCCTTTGTCGTACGATTGGTTTCTGTATGAACACCTTTTCAAATTGATATCCGACTGTGGATTGAAATTGCATGCTGCCTTGTCATTTCATTCGAACATACGCTCGACATTTAGAGGAAAAGAAGGTGTGAGTCTTCCGCAGTGGATTCTGGAGGTTAGTTTGAATTGAAACGGCTTAGATTTGTTGAATAAACTTTTACAATCTCAATGCTATCAAGATCAAATGATATCATACTATTCATTGGTGGCTTAGATTGGTGCTCACAACAGAGATATATACTATCAAGATCAAAAGGGAATGTCCAATGATGATTACCTTACTCTAGGAGTGGATAATTTTCCTCTCTTTTCTGGCCGAACTGCGCTCGAGTGCTATGGTGACTTCATATTAAGCTTTGTTAACAAATTTGATCACTTAATTGGAGATTTGATAGAGGAAATAAGCATTGGTCTTGGCCCTTCTGGAGAGCTTAGGTACTTCTATTGATATCTGAACTAGAATTTCAATGGTTTTGCTTGAGAGCTTAACCTTTTACAGGTACCCTGCACATCCTTTTGAAGATGGTAGATGGAGATTTCCCGGCATTGGCGAGTTTCAATGCTATGACAAATACATGTAAGTCAGAAGCTTTTCATTATAATCATGGCTTTCTTTCATCCTAACTTTCAGTTTTCATTTAGGATGGACGACTTGAAGATGGCCGCATGTCGAGTAGGCAAGCCTCAATGGGGCGAGCGAGGACCACAGAATGCCGGTGGCTACAATAGCTCCCTTTCTGCTGCTCCTTTCTTCAAAGAGGGAGACGAAAACTTTCTCTCTGATTACGGACACTTTTTCCTTGTACGTATTAACGAACGAAAGTTTTTTCGAATGCATGAAATTCTATCTGTTATACGTAGCTTACATAGCAGGAAGTTGTTTGTAGGAATGGTATAGTGGTAGATTGATTCATCATGCAGATGCTATTCTTGAGAAGGCAGCTCAATTGTTGAAAAAGTATAAGAAAAACAATCTGCCTTCTGTTATATTAGTGGCTAAGCTTGGTGGTATATACTGGTGGTACAACACAGTATCTCATCCCGCAGAACTTACTGCTGGTTACTATAATACCGAAAGCAGGGACGGTTACGATCCTGTTACGTCGATGCTGTCCCGACATGGTGCAGCGTTACACATTCCGTAAGATTCTGCCCTCAAAATTCTTATACACATTCCTCTTAGATGGTTCATGTATCTGAGTTTTTATTTGCAGCTGCTTAGAAATGGCGGACAGTGAAACACCAGCATCCTGTTTCTGCAGTCCAGAAAGATTACTCAAACAGGTTGGTGGTTCATCTGAAGTTTTACAGTTCTTGAAAACCTTTGTATCCTAATTTCCTCTTAGATTGTGGGAACTTCAGAGCAAAACGTCATTCATTTGACCGGGAGGAACACGAACGAGCGGTTCGACAAGGTAAATGCAGTGAGTGTTGTGGTTCCGTTGTGTACAAAATTGTGTGTTTTGATGAATTTTGTGTTGGTTGCAGGATGGATTGTGGCAAATTCATTACAATTGTTGCCGTCCACTAGCAGCAGCAGTTGTTAAATCCTTCACGTTTTTCAGAATGAATGACAAGATTTTTAGGTTAGAAAACTGGAATAACTTTCTCCCTTTCATTAGAATGATGAGCACTGACCACTGACCTGTAACATAGTTTTAACCCCTTTACTCACTCTAAACAAAACAACAATTGTTCATCACTATTAATATTCATTTGGATGTTCAAACAATAATTTACTCTCGGGGTCTATTTTCTCTGACTTTACTCAGCTTGACCTACTTGACTCAGCGGTTAAAGTATTGCTTTCATACGGCGAGAGTCATTGGTTCAAATCCAATAGTAGGTAACGATGAATCGTCACCATCTGATCTTCCGACAACGACAACAACCGTTTCTCTGTTGACCTTGATTGTCTGATCTCTGCCATTGTCTACTTCTACCCCTTCTTTCAGGTTCTAATTCAGCCCTTGGTTTTGCCATTCGAGTTTAGAGCTTTCCATCGTCTACTTCATTAGGTTCGATATTACTCAAGTCATTGTTCGATATTACTCAAATAATAATAATACCCATAATAATTAGGCGTGGAAGTGTATATTGATGAAGAGATCTGCTTCATTATTATTGCTTCAAGTTTACGATCACTCATTTCAAAACCCATAAAAAAACCCACAAATTTCCCACTAATTTCCTCAGACACCCAAAAATGTATCCCTTCATTATCTTCCTCCTCTTATTCCCTTCTCTCTTCAACTCCCAACCCACCATTTCAATCCTCCCTCCGGCTCCGGCTCCGGCTCCGGCTCCGAATACCCACGACCCGACCCAATTCAACCTCCCGCGCTTGCTTTCCACTGCCGGCTGCACAGCCTTCGCCCAATCCCTCGCCAATTCCACTGCCCAAAAGGCCTTCAACGACGTCGTCCAAGGCGGCTTGACGGTCTTCTGCCCAAGCGACGTCGTTTGGGACGACTTTTCATCCAAATTCAAAAACCTGACTCTTCCCGCCAAAACCTCGCTCCTCGAATTCCACGCCGTTCCCATTTATATGCCGTTGCCGGTTCTCAAGTCCAATAACGGCGTCACCAACACCTTGGCCACCGACGGCGCCGATAAATTTGATTTCACCGTGCAGAATGACGGCCAGGATGTAACGATTTTGACCAGCGTTGTGACGGCTAAGGTCGGTGGGACTGGTTTCGATGAAGCTCCGTTGGCTATTTTTTTGGTTGATTGTGTTTTGGAACCGGATGAGTTGTTTAGTGTCCATGCGATGGCGCCGGCCTCGCCCAAGGTCAAGAGTCGGTCGGATACGGGGTCGTCTCCGCCGTCCGCGGAATCTCCTGATGACTCTCCGGCGGATCACGACGGCGACGGCGACGGCGATGGAAACTCTGCGGTTAGAGTTGATGGTGGGGAGTTTTATCTGGCAGCTGTAGTTTTGACTACTTGGATGGGATTTTTACCGCTGTAATTGTTTATTTATTTATTTACTGCAATCAAAATGCGGAAGATTTATGTCTTAAATTTTATGAAAATGTCCAAATTTCAATTTTTAATACATATTTGAAACTTCCATCCCTCTATATTTATTATTTTATACATACATACATATATATATATATACATACATACATATATATATATATATACATACATATATATATATATATATATATATATATATTAAATATGGGATAATGTGTTTTAATATTAAACTATTATGTTGTACTTTTGGTTTGATATTATTAAATTTATTAGATGAGTATTGAAATAGGAAGTGATAATGAAAACGGAGAAGGTCTTTCTCGTCTTCATTCACACGTCAATTAAGCTCAATTTTAAATTTTTGAATTTAATTTTTATTAAAGTAAAATTTTTCAATTCAATTATATCACAAGAGAATATAAACCGCTCCATATATATATATATATATATATATATATATTTATAGAATATCTAAAATACCTTTTATATAATAGGTTTTTTATTTTTTGAAATTATTTTTTTTTATAATTCAAAACTTAAATGTAATTACTGCCATTACACAAACATAATAATAGTATTTTTAAAAAATAAATATTTTTTTTTTTGTAGTAACCCAATGTCAACCCATTTATTCCAATGACAATACTTAAATTTCCGAAATGTAATTAATTAATTAAAACCGTTTTTAATGGAATATAGACCCATTTTATTAATTATTCATAATTTATAATCATACAAATGAAATGATTATGTTTTTTTTAATAAAAAAATCTATTAATTATCTATCATTAATTTTAAAATTTAATGATGGCATAAAATTAATATATAAATATATATATATTATATTATAATATAAAGAGAGATAGGGTTGAAAATTATTTTAAAACCAATTTAAATTTCAAATCAACCCATAATAATATTAATATTTATAATATTAAATTTCAAATATTATTTTTGAATCCACTAACAAAAATTATAATATTTTAATTATTAAATTCAAGACAAATATTGAGACACATTTATCTAATTAACCTAATTTATTACAAGTGTAAACAAATTTTATTATTAGTATATAGAAGAAAATGGTTTATTTATACCTACGTTAAAAAAAATTATTGTTAGTATAAAAATAAAAACTATTATCTATACTCGTCAACAACAAACTTTTGACAAGTTTAGAACAAGAGAATTGTTAACTTGATACATTAGTATTAAACAAAAATAAATAAATAAAAGGAAGAAGAGTATGATTATCCTATTTTGTGGAGAATTTAAATTTATATTTTCAACAAATAAATTAAACAAAAAAAAAACGACAGTGTTGAAGATGACGAACTCACCCAGAGTGCTGAAGACCACGGACTCTGCGAGCCTAGATTGAGCAGAGTGCTAAGCACGAGTCAACGAAACTGAAACAACCAACTGCCAAGTGCTAAAGACGAGAGTCAAGACTCAACCCAACAGCCAACTAACCACTGAACCCGAGAATTGACTGGAGAAGGCGATGCTGCAATGTTGAACCCATGAATAAGAAACTTGAAACTGAGAATGGCGAAGGCAATGTTGCAATGTCGAACCCATGAACAGAGTTAACGTAGGGCCAACGGCAAGCTGCAAAAAAATCTTAGACTCGTGAATGAGAAACTTGAACCTGAACCCATGAATGGAGTTGGTGTAGGGCCGTTAGGGAGCTGTAAAAATCTCCTTAAGTTTGTTCATGTACACTACATGACTGTAATATGCATGTACATATTGCATGGCTGCAATTTGCCAACCATTGAGGTTGTTCATGTATACTACATCATGGCAGTCTTTAGATACACTGCATGGCTGCAACATGCCGTTAAAGACTATAGATGTACACTATATGACTGCAATATGCATTGAAGACCGTACATGTATTATGTAATCTGCCTTGAAAATTGAGACTAACCTGTATTTTTTTTTAATGTAAATAGGGTTGGATTTGGGCCTATAACAAAAATTGGGGCTAATGAATTAGTATTAGGTAATGAGTTGGGCCGTAGAATAAAAAAAAAAACATATATTTATCGGTTAACTTTTATACTTTTGCCTATTAAACCCAAATCAGAGTAGAAGTTTGTTAATCAAATAATTTACATGTGATTTTATTTTTGCACGCAAATTACTAAGTTAATTATTTTTATTTAATTTCTTACTAAATAAGTTAATTATTTTTATTTAATTTCTTTAATTATTAATTTATTTGAATATCTTAATAAAATATATTTTATTTATTCTTCACTCGTTTGTTAGTCTAAAGATAAGAAAGGAAGTAAAAAATAAATGATGAGATTTGGTTTTTATTTCAAACTATATTTAAATTTATTCTTGAACACTTATCAACAAGTCCATAAGAGTTGTAACTCTTAGATTTATATTTTCGATCCTACTATATTTAGATTTATTGTTCGAACACTTGTCAACAACTCATTATATTTGTTTTAAAACAGAAGGATTAAAACAGATATTCATTGCTGTTTAAAGAAACAATAAATTATGTCAACAATATTGAGTATGCATGTCATCCACTTGTTCATAATTATAAATTAGTTTTCAACGCTCATATTTCAATGTGAGTCTAATAAATTTTTTTTACTTCAACTATTTTTTTAATACAATTTTATGATCTTTGAATCAACAAAATATAATATCGGGTGAACAACATAATAATATAAATAAGTTTAAGTGAAAAAATAATACAATTTCATAATAAAAAAATATTGTATTATAATTCCGTTCTATCTCCTCTCTATTAATCTTTTTTAAAATAAATAAATTATTTTTTTCTATCAAATACTCTCTTGAGATATTTGTAAATTAAATTTTATTTTTGTATGTATATATGTTAATGAATGGTTGTCAAATATAAGAAAGAAAAACAAGAACGAATAAAAAAGATAAATTTATTTTTAAACACTTTCAACAACTTTCTGATGTTTTTATATTAGATTTATTCTTAACACCGGTTAACTGTATAATTAAATTTATATTTAAATTTATATGTTTCTTCCAACTATATTTAGACTTATTTTAAAAGACTAGGAGGTAATAAAATATATAAACTTTTATTTTCATTCCAATTATATTTAAATTTATTCTTAAATATTTGGTAAATAATTAATTAAACGTATTAAAATTTAATTTATATTTTTATTTAAACTATATTTATATTTATTTTTAAACACTTGTCAGCAAGTAATTACATTTGTTTAAAAAGCGATCAAAACAAATATTCATTACTTAAAATATAGTAATTACACGGTTTGAAAAATTATATCAAAGTTGACTACCATTGCCCGAGCTCGACTCGCCGTTGTCACCTCTATCGTATTACCCACCCATTGCATCAAACATTCCTGTAGGGACGTGTCCTATCTGAAATGTCTGGCCATACGGTGGTATCATCCCTATTGGTGATCCATAATCCACATTGCGCCTCATGATCGGTTTTGTAAGGATTCGATCATTTTTCGACTCGCGGTAGCGATTAAGAAAGACAGCTAATGGCTCAATGTAATCGTCAAACCCTAGCTTCCCCATGGCTCAAAAGACATCCTCTGCGGTTGCTTTTTTATGCTGCTCCCTTTGGCATCGCTCGTTGGCCTCGCCAGTAACGAAGCCGATGTACTCAGACACGCATTCTTGGATGGTCTCCTTTGCATCATCGGATATCTTTGCATGAGAGGGTAAGATTTGTCGCATGATGCATGTCACATTAGCGATTGGTATGTATTGGTCCTGCTCCCGCACAATGCATTGTTGGCTCTGCTCATTGCTGGTGGCAGGGGTAGAGCCAGTCACAGGAGAGTTGGCCGTGACCATTTAATTGCTGGTGGTTGCTGTTGGCAAAGGATAACTTGATTGTGGTTAACACTACATTCAAAGCTGAAACCAAATGCTTAATTCAGATTCATCAAACAAATAATGAAAAGCATAAATTTTCATAAGTAAATCAAAACAATTAAATAAATAATTTATTTATACAAAAAAAAATTAAATAAAAAAGATTCAGACAAATTTTGATTTATTTTAAGATAATCTCAAGAATTACAAAGTTTAAATTCAATTCTTAATGTTTTATATAATTAATTCATTTTTCATATATTAAATATTAAAATATATTAACTGGTCAGTAATCAAGGTTTAGGGAGTGTGAAAAGAAAGGGTAGTAAGTTAGTTAGTTGAGTTCTAAGAATAAAAAAAAAGGATGAATTAGGGCAAGAGGTTTTGGACTATTTGGATGGGCATAAATATTAACATTTATTTATTATTATTCTCTTCCTCCACATCTGACCAAAAAATATATTAATGGCGTGTACCAAAAAAATGAATTTAATTTAAATTTATTTACAAATTTTTTTTTAGCTCTACGGAGCCACGACATGTTACCCTCTATTATGGTCTAAAAATCATCGACCATGACTCATTTTTTTTTCAAACGTTCAATCAACCAACTAGAACCAGTGTTTCCAAATTAGGGTTTCAGTTCTAATTACGTACCGTGCTAATGGCTTTCTTTCATTGAAATTCAAATCCGAGATTGAGCATTGTACGAAAATATTAAGATATTGGAAAGAGAAGCAAATTGAAGGTTTTTGATACATGTAAATCTAAATCAGTAGAAACTAAGTAAAAATAGTGGGGAGGGAGAAGGTGCATTCGGAGGGTAAAAGGAAAATTTTGGAGATGAAAATACCAGAGGTTGGCTTAGATTGTTGCCTTATGTAGCTATGGAAGTCATCTCCACCTCTGCAGAACCACCACGTTTCATAATTGTCCATCTTTGTTTCCCTCTCTAAAATTGGGTAGGGTGAGGTGGAGAGTAGTGGATGGGAAGCCAGAGAGGGAATTTATAGGCATTTTTAAGTTCAAGATTAAAGAGTAAGTGTACTATTAAATTCCTGCCATTTTGTTTGCCTAAAATTTTTTGAGGGGAAGAGTATGGTTAATCACGACACCAATTTAAGAGCTTTGACTCACTGCATTTCTTCTATTTATACGGCTTATTTTCAACCATTCATATTACTCTACTCTCGTTTTTTTCTCTCTATGAAATGTTGGGTTCTCGTAACGGGTTACTAATCGATCTCTAATAGTGTTTGGTCTTACGAGAATGACATGCATATTCGCATCATATACAGTTAACGGAACACATTGATGTATAAATAGTCAGGACCTATTGTAAGTCGATAAAAAAAATGATGTGCTCGACAAAAGTACTCAAAGTACATGTTCGTTAGTGTTAAAGTAAATTCACCATGGTTCTAAGAACAAATGGTAACTAAATGAGATAGAACAGATTGTTTAAGATTCAAAACTTTTATTTTAAGTGGTAAAAATTGAACTAACCCAATTAAAATTATTTTAAATAGTTGTTTAATGTTTTATTTTATTTTATTAATTTTGATGTTGATTTTTAAGAAGTTTAAAATAGATTCTAGGTAACTATCCTTCCTTCTAATCGTTATAAATGATTTGATCCATTATTGTAGAGATATTGGAAGAAAAAAATTTACAATAAAGAGGAGAAAATTTACAATTATGTAATGTGGTAAAATTTATATTTTTATAGTTTTAGATAAAAGAAGAATAAACTCTTATATGAGATGACATAATATATAATCACGTTAAAATGGTAGAGGTAAAATAATATGTAGTTAATAAACAAATTTAATTATTAATGTTTTATATTTTAATTATTAATTTATTTGAAAGGATAAATGTAGAAAAATATCATTAATAAACTATTTTTTCATTCATTACCGTCAATATATCACTCTCCTCTACTTTCTCTTCAAATCACTGAAATACAAAGAAAGAAAACACAAAAACGTTTTTCACACTTGTCAAATAGTTAAGTACGTGTCTAAAATAAGATTTTTTGGTGTGACATTTGTCTATAATTAAAAGTATTCTTATTAGTACAGATGTCTAAAATAATATTCTTTTTATAACAATTCGCTATAATTAACTGTATTTTTATTAGTATAGATGTCTAAAATAAGATTCTTTTTTATTACATTTGTCTATTATTAAATGTATTCTTATTAATATATATGTCTAAAATAAGATTATTTTTGTAACAATGATTTATAATTAACTGTCTTATTTATGAGCACAAACAATAATCAAAGGATAAATGCGTAAATGCACTTTAGCATTATTCTTAGACAAGTACATATACTTCAGTTAAACAAAAAAACTCTCCATGTTTCCATATCACTTACTTAGTTCCGGGACATGATGTATTTTTCGGTTAACATTACCTTTTTTTTTTTTCTTATTATTCAAATTAGATTATCCTCTTAATAAATAAAATCAATTTTAATTTGATTTCAAGATCTATTCTTCTAACACAATAGCTAAATCAAGGGAATAATTTGATTTCAATATCATGAGAGGTCGGTTTTAGGGCATTGAAAGAAAGAAAAATTTCAATAGAGAGAGGAGAGTTTTGTGATTTTTTATAAAGTGTCTATGGTTATAAATTTTATGGCCGATGTATCCCGAGAATTTGATTAATTGAAAAAGTAGCGTGGAAAAGTTTTGTGATTTGAAATAATGAGACGAGGTATGTGAATATGAAATTTCTATGCACGGGTCATGACTCAATTAGGTTAAGCTTTTTTTCCTCTAGACGATGAAACTTATCCATCATTGAGTTGAGATTCGAAAATGCAAATTCAATAAATTTCTTCCGAGCTTCTCCTAGACTCATTTCACTCCATAAAACAAGTACTAATAAAATGTTTTAGACAATCCGTGTTAAAAATAAGTTCAATATAATTGTTCCCTTAATTATTTAATTAAATATGTAAATATAATTTCTAAACTAAAAAGCCCGTTTTTATAAATAAAAAAAAGGAAAAATTATATATATATATATATATTATTTTATTTTATTTTGTAACATTAAACAAAATAAATGTTATTATTATAAATTTTTTAATATAGAAAACTCATAAACACTAAACAAAATTAAAATTCATTTAATCATTTTTTTACCATGATCTTAAAAAGTTAAAATGTTCATGCAAACAAAAGCATCCACCCATTGACATCATATTAGAACAAATGAAATGAGTTATAATCATTTGTTACTTTTGATATTTATTCATTATATATATAGTCATATTTTACTTCGAATTCATATCAAAGTTGACTACCATTGCCCGAGCTCGACCCGCCATTGCCACCTCCATCGTAGTACCCGCCCATTGCATCAAACATTCCTGTTGGGACGTGCCCTATCTGAAACGTCTGGCCATATGGTGGCACCATCCCTACTTGTGGTCCATAATCCACATTGCGCCTTAGGATTGGTTCCGTACGGATTCGATCACTCTCCAACTCGCGGTAGCGGTTGAGAAAAACAGTTAATGGCTCAATGTAATCGTCAAACCCTAGCTTCCCCATGGCCCAAAGGACATCCTCTGCTGTCACTGTCTTACGCTGCTCCCTTTGGCATCGCTCATTGGCCTCGCCAGTAATGAAGCTGATGTACTCAGACACGCATTCTTGGATGGTCTCCTTTGCATCATCGGATATCTTTGCATGAGAGGGTAAGATTCGTCGCATGATGCGTATCACATTAGCGATTGGCATGTATTGGTCCTGCTCCCGCACAATGCATTGTTGGCTCTTTCCATTGTTGGTGGCAGCGATCGAGGCACAGGTAGAGCCAGTCATAAGGGAGTTGGCCGCAATGTTTCGACCATTTGATTGCTGGTGGTTGTTGTTGGCGAAAGATGACTTGTTTGTGGTTAACAATACATTCAAAGCTGAAGCCAAAAGCTTGATTGATTCATCAAACAAATAATGAAAATCTTAAATTTTCATAAATAAATCAATTTTGCATAATTTAAAATTTTAATGGGCAATCAATTAATACAAAATTAAATAATTTATTTATAAAAAAAATAAATAAATAAGGATTTATATAAATTTTGATTTATTTCCGTTACAAAGTTTTAATTAAATTTATGTTTTAGTCTTTTATATTGATCTCATTTTTATTTAATAAATATTAAAATATATTAATATAATATTAAAGGCTAATAATCCATCACTGCCCATAAAAAATGCATGTGAGGTAAGAAAGGGAAGTAAGTTAGTTAGTTGATTCGAGAGAATAAAAAAGCTAAATTAAGACAAAAGGTTTTGGACTATTTGTATTGGTAGAAAGACAAGAGATATTAACATTTATTTATTATTATTTTTTTTCTCTTTTTATTTGTTAATTAGCTACGTCACCAACATTGCCAACTCACATATCTGACCAAGAAAATATATTAATGACGTGTATCAAAAATAAAAACTTTAAATTTAAATTTATTTACAAAAAATTTCTGGCTCTACGGAACCATGGCATGTAACCCTCCATGATGGTCTAAAAATTATCCACCGCGACTTAGTTTTTCTCAAACATTCAATCAACCGACCACTGTTTTCAAATTAAGGTTTCAGTTCTAGTCTTGTGTACTGTGCTAATGACTCTCTTTCATTGAAATTCAAGTTCGAGTTGAGTTTTGTACGAAAATATTAAGATATTAGAAAGAGAACGACAAATTGAAGTTTTTTGATATATGCAAATCTAAATCAACTAAGCAAAAATAATGAAGATGAAGAGATCTTGATGCATGCAACAAATAGAAACCAAAACGTAATATATGTATAGATAGAAGGTGCAAGCGAAGGGTAAAAGTGGAATTTTGGAGATGAAAATACCCGAGGTTGGCTTAGGTTGTTGCCTTTTGTAGCTATGGAAGCCATCTCCACCTCCTGCAGAACCACCACATTCCATAATTGCCCCTCTTCGTTTCTCTCTCTCAAATTGGGTTGAGTGAGGTTGAGAGTAGTGGATGAGAAGCAAAAGAGGGATTTATAGACATTTTTAGGTTCAAGATTCAGCAGGTGTACGGTCAAATCCTTGCCATTTTGTTTGCCTATAAATTTTTGAGGGGAAGGGCATTGGTAATCACGACACCAATTTAATTGGTTTTTCTCTCTAATTATATTATTTATTAATTTCTTATTTTTCTTTGCATGCACAATAATACAAAGATTTGATTCCCTGTATTTCTTCTATTTGTACTATTTATTTTCAACCAATCATATCACTCAACTCTTATTTTTTTCCTTGAAATGTTGGGTTCTAGTAACCGGTTACTAACCGATCTCTAATAGTATTTGGTCTAACGAGAACGACATGCATATGCGCACCATATACGGTTAACGGAACACGCTGATGTATGAATAGTCAAGACCTATTGTAAGTCGATAAAGAAAATGATGTGCTTGGCAAAAGTGCTCAAAGGTCCTGACTATGGAAGCCATCTCCATCTCCTGTAGAACCACCGCATTCCATAATTGTCCCTCTTCGTTTCACTCTCTCAAATTGGGTTGGGTGAGGTTGAGAGTAGTGGATGGGAAGCAAAAAAGGGATTTATAGACATTTTTAAGTTCAAGATTCAGCAGGTGTACGGTCAATTCCTTGCCATTTTGTTTGCCTATAAATTTTGTAGGGGAAGGGCATTGATAATCACGACACCAATTTAATTGGTTTTTCTCTCTAATTATATTATTTATTAATTTCTTATTTTTCTTTGCATGCACAATAACACAAAGCTTTGATTCCCTGTATTTCTTCTATTTGTACTATTTATTTTCAACCAATCATATCACTCAACTCTCATTTTTTTCCTTGAAATGTTGGGTTCTAGTAACCGATTACTAACCGATCTCTAATAGTATTTGGTCTAACGAGAACGACATGCATATGCGCACCATATACGGTTAACGGAACACGCTAATGTATGAATAGTCAAGACCTATTGTAAGTTGATAAAGAAAATGATGTGCTTGGCAAAAGTGCTCAAATGCTTGACGAACCGTGCGGGTTTGCTCTTTTCTTTTTGAAGATAGCAAGGAAGCGATTTGTTCGTTGGGGGATTTAGCTAGCCAAATCGCACTAATGTAATTCATTTGTCCTACGAGACTACAGAGCAATTCAAACTCTAAGTAAGATTAGATGTAGGGCAACACTTTTCTATTCTCTCTAAAGTCAGGTAGTTGAATCGTTTACTTTCGAAGACATGCCAAATCACTTGAAGGTCTAATTACAATAATCGTTAAGGTGCTTAGATAATTGATGAAAGAAATAATTACAATAATTAAATTATTATTGTTAGAATCATAGAAATTAAAATAGATATTTTAAAATTTTGAAATAATAAAATAAAGGAATATGAAAATTAGATTTTGAATTTTTATTAATGGATGAAATTATAAAAGGATGGAAAAGGAAGAATTTATCAACAAAAATCCAAATTAGTTATTGGCCAACCTCCCATTTTAAAATTAAGTCACAAGGGCATGACCGCAACAATTTCCTTTTTATACGGTGGCTTGGTTGCGTCGCGAATAAAAAACTTCTCTCGACTTTGATAATGAACATAGTTCAAATTGATTTCTATTTTTGATTCAACGACACGTTTTAAAAACCTCAAGGAGAAGCCCGAAAGGGAAAGTCCAAAGAGAACAATATATGCTAGCGATAGGCTTGAGTTGTTACAAATGGTTTCAGAGCTAGACATCGGATCTGCCAGCGAGAAAGCTGAGCCTCAAAGGAGGTGGGCATGAGTCAATGTGCCAACAAATACTCTAGGCCCCGAAAGGGATGGATTGTGAGATTCCACATTAGTTAAGGAGGAGGATAAAACAAATCTCTCTCTAACAAACGCGTTTTAAAGTCTTGAGAGGAAGCCCAAACTAATAGGACAACATCTTGCAAGATGATTAATATTATTTGCTCCAGTTTTTTTTTTTTAACCTAATTAATACTCATGATGTAAATGTCCAAAATAGAGTCAAAAGTTGTTATATTTTTAAGTTGAGAATAGGGCTAAAAGAGGAGGAATCAATTTGGTTATGACGTTGTAATTTGTGCAGTATAAAAACATGACTCAATCGTTGAATATTTTGCATTGATCGAGAGAATGGTTCTACCACCACATCTTGTGATACCTGTATTCAAATGTTTTCCATGGAAAACTCATACCAAAAGGGAGCAACAAAGGCATAGATCAACTGAAGATATGAACCTATTCCCAAATAAATATTTTATTTCATGCATTTTTAATTAAGTGATACCTAAGGGCTAGATATACATTTTGAGACAAAAAAAAAAAAAAAACAATTTTTTTTTAAAAATTATATGGTAATTATTCAAGTATGAATTAAATACCAAGAAAGGAATAATAGACTTTATTTTCACTTTTTTTTCTCTACTTTTATTATTATTATTAAAAAAAAAACTTTATTGTGAAAAAATGGGTGGGACAAGAGGTTTTTTTTTGCAGGATACAATAATATTTGGTTAAAACTTAGAAGATATTTATTATAAAATACTTGTTTCATCGTTATTAAAAGTTTAAAATAAAAAATGAATTAAAAAAAAATCCTTTTGGTTGACATAAACAATTTTTTTAATAAAAAAGCAGCGGTTTCACTGTAGTTATAAAAAGAAATGGTAAGTAAACTTATAAAGAAAAAAATTTACCATAGAGAAGAAAATGTTTTGTTGAACACTTTTATGAATTATATAATGAAGTGAAATTCATATTTTTATTTTTTTTTTATAGATAAACTATGTTTCAAGTTAAAATAATGGGAAGTTAATAAGAAAATTTAATTATTATTGTTTTATTTCTTTAATTATTAATTTATTTGAAAAATAAATGAAAGAAAAATATCATAAAAAATCTATTTTTTCACGCCTTCTAATCAATATATTACTCTCCTCTATTTTCTCTACACTTGTCAATAGTGAAGTAAAGAGTCTAAAATAAGATTTTTTTTCTATAATTAATGTAATAATATAGATGTCTAATTCTTTCTGTGACAATGGTTTATAATTAATTCTTATTAGTACATATGTCTAAAATAAGATTTTTTTTGTGACATTTGTTTATAATTAATTATATTTTTATGAGTACAGAGGTTTAAAATAATATTTTTTTGTGTGACATTTGTCTATAATTAACTCTATTCTTATTATTACAGATGTCTAAAATAAGATTTTTTTGTGACATTTGTCTATAATTAACTTTATTCTTATGGTCTAAAATAAGATTCTTTTTATGACAATTGTCTATAACTCATCGTATTCATATTATAGGATATCTAGAATAAGATTTTTTTTGTGATATTTGTTTATAATTAACTGTATTCTTTTTAGTACAGATGTCTAAAATAAAATTCAGTTCTTAATAGTACAGATATCTAAAATAAAATTATTTTGTGGCAATTGTCTATAATTAACTGTATTCTTACTAATACAGATGTCTAAAATGAGATTTTTGTTGGGACATTTGTCTATAATTAACTGTATTCTTATTCTTATTAGTACATATGTCTAAAAAGATTCTATTTGTGACAATAGTCTATAATTAGCTGTCTGATTTACGCAGCACAAATAATGATGAAAGGGTAAATGAGTAAATGCACTTTAACATTACTATTTTTTTAGATCCGTACACATTCTTCCGTCAAACACTTCATGTTTCCATATCACTCACTTAGTTTTGAAACATGACATGATGTAGTTTTCTATTAACATTACTATTTTTTCTTAGTCAGATAATTTAAATTAGATTATTCTCTTGATAAATAAAATCAATTTTAATTTGATTTCAAGATCTTTTCATCTAACACAATAACGAAACCAAGAGAATAATTTGATTTCATTTGTTATGGGAGGTCGGTTTTAGGGTATTTGAAAGAAAGAAAATTTTCAATAGAAGAGAGTTTTGTTTTTCATGAAGTGTCTATGGTTATAAATTTTATGGCCGATGCATCCCGAGACTTTGATTGATTGAAAAAGTAGCGTGGAAAAGTTTTGTGATTTGAAATAATTAGACGAGGTATAAGAAGATGAAATTTCTAAGCACGGATTATGACTCTATTTCGTTGAGATTTTTTTACTCTCGTCGATGAAGATTATCCATCATTGAGTTGAGATTCGGAAATGCAAATTCAATAAATTTCTTTCAAGCTTCTCCTAAACTGATTTCACTCCATAAAACAAGTACAAGTACTCATAAAATTTTTTAGCCCATCCGTATTTTCTTAATTATTTAATTAAATATGTAAATGTAATTTCTAAACTAAATATCTACTCTCCTTTTTTAACTAAAAAACAAAAAATCAAATATATATATAAAAAAGGCCGTATTTAGTCACTCACTAGTGAGGTAAGAAAGGGGAATAGGTTAGTTAGTTCCCTTCACGAGAATAAAAAAGGCCGAAATAGAGTAAGAGGTATCGGACGGTTTCTATTGGCAGACAACAGATATTAACATTTATTTATTATTATTTTTTTCCTTCTTTTTATTTGTTAATTAGCCACCTCACCAACACTCCCAACTCACACATCTGACCAAGAAAATATATTAATGACGTGTACCCAAGAAAAAACTATAAATTTAAATTTATTTATGAAATATTTCTGGCTCCACAGAGCCATGGCATGTAACCCTCCATTGTGGTCTAAAAATTATCCACCGAGACTCAGTTTTTTTTCAAACGTTCAATCAACCGACTAGTGTTTTCAAATTAGGGCTTCAGTTCTGGTCTTGTACGTAATGTGCTAATGGCTCTCTTTCATTGAAATTCAAGTCCAAGTTCAGCTTTGTACGAAAATATTAATATATTGGAAATAGGAGGCAAATTGAAGTTTTTTGATATATGCAAATCTAAATCAATAGAAACTAAGCAAAAATCAATAGGAGGCAAATTGAAGTTTTTTGATATATGGGTTCTCGTAATGGGTACTAACCAATCTCTAGTAGTATTTGGTCT